GGATAGAGTCAGGGACAAGCTGAAATCATCGATTTGCTGTTTCCGCACAACGGATCATGGCGAGGCAGCGACGGAGCTGGAAACGCTGAAGCCGAGGACGCCGCGGTCGACTTACACGTGGCTGAAATCGACGGCGCACGAGCTAGAGATCAAGGACAGGTGCAAAAGTCTGATTGCGAGAATCGGAAAGCACGGAGGTCGAAAGCAGTACGGCTCCTCCGATTTCAGCTACGATCCTATGAGCTACGCGCTGAACTTCGAGGACGAGGCGAGCCGGACTGAAGAGATGCCGATTATCAGCTTCTCATCGCGGCTTCGAGCCTCGCCTGAGCGAATCATAGACACCAACTGCAAGAACGAGCCGCCGGTATCCGCGACCATGGAAATCGTCTTGTTCAGCTGATGAAAAGACATTTTAAGTTTAATCAATTAGGATTAACTAAAAATAGTTCGGTAACTAGCGGATTATTATCGCCTGAGGATCATAATCGTTGAGTTTGCTTGGAGACGAACCTCTGATCCCTGATTTATGTACCTAAAACCAATTTAGCAATGGTTCCATTATTATTATTTTTTATTTTTTTCTTTTATCTTAGTTACAAGGAAACATCTTCGTCCCTTATCTCATACCTCAACTGCTCAAACTCAGGTCAAAGTCAGGATATTTTATTTTATTTTCAAATTAAAAGAAGTAATTATTAAATTATTTAAGTAATTAATAGTAATAGTTACATTATTAGATTTTAATACTCCCATTTTCTCTGCGAGGTGAATGTATTAATTTTTTTTTAAATGGTGTATATATTATCTAAAGTTACATATTTTATTATATATTGATGATTTTTTTAAATTATGTTATTAAAATTAATAATTTTTATTATTTATATTATTAAAATTAACATTTTTATTATATATTAATAAAAATAATCAAGATATAATAAATACATCATTTTAAAAGATGTATGTATTATTATTTTTTTAACGGTCAATTAAGTGGTGGTACCATTTATTTCCACGAAGGCAACTGTTGCTGCCAGGAAAGAAAGTTACTCTCTCACCCACTTATTTTTCCATCTTTTCAAAACTACCCCTTTATCGTCTCTTCTGGTTCACCTTCTTTTCCAAAATCTCTGGGATCAAAGAAGATGGTGAAAATAGCATGAGCAATGGCAAATTACTGATGAGAAGAACTTAAAATTTTTCCCTTGACTTCTCAGCTTCTCCCATCTGACGATCTCATTCTACAAACTAGGATGATTCCTTTGTTTGACCTTGTTCGGCTTCTGGTTCGTCAAAGGGAGGCTAACAAATTACTAATTGTTATCCCAAAAAATCTCCTTGACACGTAGCAGATGAAATGGCATACTACTTGCTTTACTTAAAACAAAAAAGATTTCTCCAACAACCCTCTCTTCTTTCCAAGCGTGAAACTTAGTTTGTAAGTTGATGAAAGAACGTCGTAAATTGTGCCTTAAAGATTAAACGATTGGCAGAAACGAGAGATGAACTTCCTGCATTAAATGAGTTATACGGCAAAATGCCTTGAATATGATTCCAAGGACTTCTCGAAGCTAATGTAATCAAGAAAAGTTAAGATTACAAGAAAAATAAATGATTGCTAAACTACTGAAAATTTAAATGAACTTTAAACACGCAAACTGGGTTGAAACAAAGCTTTAAAAGGAAATTTAATTGTATAAAAAGTAAATTAGGTTAAAGTAAATAAAACCGGAAACAAGGAAAATCTATTGGCAGCATGAAATATAAATTAAACAGAAATGGAATTGAATATAAAATTAACTGTCGACATCATTCGATTAAATTAAAAGAAATTTGGAAAACAAAAAAGAAAGGCAGCAATCCGATTACAAAGAAATATTACTGAAGGCAATGAAACTCACCATTACAAATCTGATAAAAGGAGAACCGAATTGTTAAACTAATTTAGGTTGAAGCGTAAAATTAAAGTTAAATTAAAAGGCTTGACACTAAGATGAATCTGAGTATAAAGAGAAATTATGCTGAGTTTGTTGTGTGAGATGTCCATCCTTTGCTTGATCTTATCATTAAGTATTTATAACACCTTGGCAGCATGGTGGAGATCTGCGGCAGCATCTTGAAAAACCAATGACAGCGTGATATCTTCAACAAACTGATTAATTTATTGGTGTTGCAATTATCCTCCTGGAAGCTTGCAATAAGAGAACGGTTTTGTTGCCGTTGTGTAAATAACCACTCAATCTCATATGAAAAGATTCACACCAACTTTCAACTAATAAAATATCTGTCATCATGGGTGATACGTGGCAACACTCCATTTGTTGTAAAATTAGGTGTAAACACTAATTTTATTTCTTTTTACATCAAATTATAAATTGTATAAGGAGAGATGATCTTTATCTTTTTTTCCTCAAGAAATTTCAAGCTCTTAAGTCACTCTTAGTGCAAATTACTAAATTCTTTTATTTTGGTACTAACATTTTGATATTTGATAATCACATTGGGTTTCAACTAACTCGGAATCGAATTAAATTGGACACCATTAAAAGGAAGTTCTCCCAACATTTATTTCTCTAATCATAAGACTTAAACTCAAAACTTTGTTTAAGAAAATCGAATTCTTTTTACTCAAACTAGCAGATCGTTAGTCAAATTATTAAATTCTTGATTATTGGTATGGGGAACAACCTCCCTCATGGCCTTGCCTCCTAGTGCACAGTACCACGCATTGGATCCTATGTGTTTTTTAATTGAAAGAAAATCTAGGATTGTAGCATTGGTGGGATGCAAGGATTTTCATATTCGTTTCTGGACTGGTCTATTAGATGAACATAGAAAGAAGAAAATTATGTGCTTTACAACTTGTAAGCCACTCATTTGGACTTTTGAGTGGCCCATCAAAAGCCTGGGCAGACTGAGTGGGCAATTAGGAATTAACTCAACTCAACTCAACTAACAGGAATATGGGCCAATATTTGGGCTTAAACCTTATAAACTAATTTTGCAGCTTTTTTTTTTTTTTGGTAAATAAATAAAAAAATAAAAAAAATAAAAAAACTAATTTTGCCGCTATTAAGGCAAAAACTAGTTCCTGTAGTATGTATACGAATTGTCGAAGGTTAACTTCCTGACTATGAGATAAAAATATAAATTTTGTAATTTTTTTATTTAAGAATTGATTAAATAGTAATATTGATATAATAAAGGTAAAATTGATAGTCTTAAATAACAAAATTAATATTTTTAAATAAAAAATAAAAAATTTATTACTTTAATTAAAAATTAATATCCCTTTATGTGTCTTTTCTCTCTTGACCATAACTCAGAATTTAATGTTAAAGATAGTGGGTATTAGGCTATTATTGCTCTTTGGACTAATTCCTTTGGGAGAAAAAAAATATTTTTTAAATTCATGAAACTATTTCTTTGTGGAGATTATTTTGTTTTTATTTTTTACAAAATAAAATTATTAAAACTTAAAATTTTAAATTTTAAATGGCAAATCATGCAAATTACCCCTTAAACTTGTCAACGGTGGCAAATCAGCCCTTCTCTAACTGCTAATGTCATCATTCCGTCCAAACTTAACCGGGTCCATGTTTTTGTAGGGTCCACTGTCCAGCTGCACTTGACGTAGCCTCTTTTTTTTTTTTTTGACTTTTTAACATTTTTCTAAATATAAAATTAGTAAAGTAAATTAAATAAAAAAATTTTAATTTGGTTTTTGAATTTGTATCTTTAAAATA